CAGTGCTGCTTTGTGTACAGCGTTACCGGGGAAACCGCTATTTTTACCGCTCCAAAAGCGCACCTAGTGGCAAAGAATGAATTAGCATTTTCATTCAGACCAACAAGTGGGCGGCAATAGGCTAATGTTTCATGTTGAGGTCAACATGGGATTCCTTTTAAAAACGACTCGTTTCAATGATTCAGAGTCGACTCTTTCTTTTGAGAGACAATAACTTTATACACGGTGCACTTTCAGATTTAAAACGTTGCAGGATGTTTTCATTCACTTAGAGCTGCTGTGTTACACACTACAATGACTGCATGAAAGGTAATTTTCAAAAATCCATAATTGGGGCACTTTAATATTACTAAATAATAATGGTAAAAATCAACAGTTGGTGTTCAGAATTTTTTTTTTTTACTCATGTACACTTTTGTTCAAAATTTTGGGCTCAGTAAAATTTCTATTTGAAGGAAAATAATATTCGTATTGAATGTGTATTTGCTATATTGTGTTCATTAAAGACATTCAATAGATCAGTAGTGAGAGTAAAGACGTATAAAAACAAAACTTTTCATTTGTCAAGGAATCCTGAAAAAAATCAGCATACTAGAATGATTTCTGAAGGGTCATGTGACACTGAAGACTGGAGTAATGATGCTGAAAATTCAGCTTTGATCACAGGAAGAAATTACATTTTAAAATATATTCAAATAGAAAACAGTTATTTTAAATTGACATTTCTCAATTTTATTGTTTTAACTGTATTTTTGATCAAATACTTGGAGTCTCTTGAGCATAAGTGACTTCTTTCAAACCCCAAAGTTTTGAACGGTATTATAGATCCCTGTTGTATTATTTCTGCCTACAGAGGAAGCTGGCTGAGGTCACAGAAGATGAATGGTTGAGTATTCCTGAGGTTGGTGATGCCAGGAACAAGCGTCAGAGGAATCCCCGCCATGAGAAGCTCACACCCGTGCCGGACAGCTTCTTTGCCAAGCACCTCCAAACTGGAGAAAAAAACACTTCTGTTGACCCACTGCAGGGGGTGAGTAACGGCCCATCACCTTTCACAGGTGCATCATTAACTATAAAGAAAATATTAATATAATCAGAGCACAATGCATTGCATTAGAGGATCCATTGCACTTGAAGATTTCATTGCAAAATATGAAACGATGCAATTTCTAATTGAGCCGTTTCCCTTTTCAGCAATTTGGCGGGCTAGCGACATCCTTCCCAGGAGGCTTGAACACACCCTACCCAGGAGGCATGACGCCTGAAGCTGGAGAGCTGGACATGAGGAAGATCGGACAGGCCAGAAACACTCTGATGGACATGAGGCTCAGTCAGGTGATGCACCACAGCATTTTAACTGCAAACTGAATTATGTTGAAGAAAGCCAGAAGTTTTCACAGTGTCTTTGTTGGTGTCTCCAGGTGTCTGACTCTGTGAGTGGACAGACAGTTGTTGATCCTAAAGGCTATCTCACCGATCTCAACTCCATGATCCCCACTCATGGAGGAGACATCAGGTACCGAGTGTTTTAGCCTCATGAGCTTTATATCTGGGCTGTCTGTGTTGCATTTTCTAATGTGATTCTGTGTGTGCGCAGTGATATTAAGAAGGCCCGTCTCCTCTTGAAGTCAGTGAGAGAAACAAACCCTCATCACCCGCCCGCGTGGATCGCTTCTGCCCGTCTGGAGGAGGTGACCGGGAAGCTGCAGGTGGCCAGAAACCTGATCATGAAAGGCACTGAGATGTGTCCCAAGGTGAGGCATAAATGGAGGAGGAAATGTACAACTAAATTAAGTCCCTGATATACTTAAGGTAAAGTTGTTGTTTTTTTCATTCTTCGTTTAGAGGTAAAAGGAAGTTTGAATTATCTTAGCAGCGGTTCACTGTTTGTGAACATCCCTACACCACACACTCCGTTGAGAGCGGATATGTAAATGTGTTGTGCGCATTCCTCTCAATAACAAAAATAACAGCCATTAAGAAAGCATCTGATCGTAGTAGCTATGTTTCCATCCACCTATTTTTATGCACAGTTTGGAATATCGCATGAAAAACCACTGGATGGAAACACCAAGATGCGCATAAATTCTAACAATGCGAATAAACAAGTAATGCATGACGTCTGAAATGTCGTTTTGGTTGTTCTGAAATGCCTGAGCAAAGTATTTTTTTGTCATCAACGTATTTCTGTGTAATTGTCCCAAACAGTAGCATTCACCTCCGAAAGCAATGACCGCATTCATTTTGTTTCATCTGCTCACTCTGAGGCGCAAGTTATTCATCAAATTATTATATTAAGTGGCTTCTCCTACTTTTCTTGTTGATACTTAGTGCCAGTTTATCAGGATTTTGTTCTCTTTGATTCGTTGGATGGAAATGGTGCTTTATTTGCAAATGTTTTATGCGATATTACATTTATGCGCGTAAGTTAAATTCGGATCTTTCGATAGAAACATAGCTAGTGATGTGGACATGTTTGCACCAGCGCTGCAATTCAGCACATTTATAGCAAGCAGCTTTACAGTATTAAACTTGGGGAGGGGGGGAAACAGTGTCGGTGTCACTTTCAGTTAAATTTACAACTTCAGTTTCTACTATAAAGCAGCTTGTCAGTGTGTGCTTGCTTTTTCTCGCGTCTGACCTTGATGAACTGAGCAGAAGAAATGTACCAGAGAAGATTTGCATGTCAAAGAAGGCGGAGCCCCAGAGACACACCTACCTATTACATCATCGTCGCAGACCAATGGGAGTTCGAAGGTGTTTACTAGCCAGTGCAAAGTTTTCTAGAAAGTTCATTTTGGCCTGAAATGCATTCCAAACAAACTTAGTTTTTGCATGATTATGTTTGAAACGACATCACACCAGTAATCTCTTTTATTTCGCTCAAAGTAGGTGCAAGAAACCTTGATGAACATTATAAATGGGACTCTGACAGTAAAATGGTTTAACTTAGGATGTGACCCCCTTAAAGTCTTTTTTTTTTCTGTGGGACATATTCAATTTAAAGATGTTTTGAGAAGGGTTGGTTAGCAAATTGTTTAACAGTTGACTTCTATTTTGACAAAAAAGCAGACATTCCTCATCTCTATTTCATAGAGGATAGAAGGCCATATAGGTTTGGAATGACATAAGGCTGTGAAAATGATGACAGAATTTTAGGTTTTGGTTGAATTGTCCCTGTAAAGTAAAAAGGAAGCGCTTTACTGTATGTCCAGTAGGGGGCAGCGAGTGTTTGAGCCATTGAAATTTTACAGCTTTAGAAATGTTGCCAGTGTTGACAGGTTGCCATAGTGATACATTTACAATCTGCAAAATCCCACTTCCCAAAATGCTATAAATATGGTTCAAGAACAACATGCCATGTAAGCTGTGCCAGTCGATTTGTCTACTAGTGCTGACTTTGGATTTGGAGAGAAAGAACTGGGAATGAAAACATAGCGAGCGGAAACAATGTCAGGCCCTTTTGCTCTCAGTGTGTGTGCACAGCTTCATTAAGTGTTGGGAAATTTCTGCAGGCTCATTAATCAAAGTTGAGCTTCACAGTTCAGCAGCAGAGCAGTGACATGGCTGTGTCTCAAAGCCTAAGAGAGCTGACCACTGACCACAGGATGTTTGGACATGATCAGTACATTCAATCATCACGCCTGTGTGTGTGAAGAACAAAAATGTTGCCTTGGCAGCTGTTTCTATAAATCATTGAGCATTCATTTTTAGTAATTCACCTGCTTATCTTCAGTTACTCATGTTAACTGTGGAGCAGGTCTCCAGACTGTGACTAAAATACATGAAAAAACAAAAATGTTTCAATAATTGTAACATTTCGTAATTTAAAATCTAGTCAGCACTCGACAGTCAGTCAGGACTCATTTGCAAGCTGTAATGTCCAATTCATGAAAAAATTTACCAGTTATTTTTGAGTCAGTCAAAAGATTCACCAAACTGCCTCAACTGGCTGGTGATTAGTGTTTTGTATGCATTAGGATATATTTGTCACAGTTTCTTCAAGTTAACCAAACTTTTATTTTGTTGTATTGCTGTGAAGACCTTTAAGTTTCTTATTGTGTGATATGACGATATATTTCTTAAAAGAAATGGTAAATGCTCATGAAGTGATTCTCAGAGCAGTTCTAGAGATTGTTTATGTGTTCATGTCCTCATATATTGAGGGGCAGAGGCTGAAAACGCCGCTCTTCAGTATGTGTGTAGTAAATGAAACATTCATTCACACAGAGTCAAGCAGAAACATGCATAACTTCATGAATGGCCGTCTTTAAGCAATTCTGAAACTAAATAGATTTTTTGGCTTCCTCTTCCTCATCCTCATTTTTGTTTTTCTTGAGGGACTCATTTGCAAGCTGTAATGTCCAATTCATGAAAAAATTTACCAGTTATTTTTGAGTCAGTCAAAAGATTCACCAAACTGCCTCAACTGGCTGGTGATTAGTGTTTTGTATGCATTAGGTTTGTGAGACTTTAATTGATATTAAAATAAATGAATGAATTATTCATTTAAATTGGTAGCTATTGTTATTAACTTTTAGTTAAGTAGTATTTTATAATAAATATTATTTGCAATTGTTTAACTTATGAGAAAACCATATTTAACATATAACAACATATAAGGTCCAAAACATAAGATTTTCCAAACAGGCAGAAATATTCATACATAAGGCCCTATGAAATCCATTTTATTTTTTTCCAGGTTTAGTTTTTTTTTCTGTTTTAATTTTTCTAGGTTCCTTTCTCATTTTTATTAATCAAAAAGCTTGTCTAATTAATTGAAATCATGAAACTTACACAATTTAACAGCAATTTATTAAAAGTTTGACAAAAATGAAATTAAGGCCCTATGAAATGTTTTGTTTTTCTCAAATTCAGTTTTATTTATTTATTTATTTTTATCAAATACTGTGTTTTCCATTATTTTTCTGGATTCCATTTTAATGGTTTCATTGAATTGTAATAATCAAAATCATCTCTAATTAATTGATTTTATATGATAAATAATTTATTATTATTTTATTTGTTTATTTATTTTCAGAAATACTGTGTTTTGTATTTACATTTTTCTGCTAAATACATTTTCTGCTAAATTCTGGTAAATATATTTTTCTGGTAAATATTCCTTAAGAAGTAATGTTTTAATAATTATTATTATTAGTAGTAATACTATCATTACATTAAGTGATATATTTGTCACAGTTTCTTCAAGTTAACCAAACTTTTATTTTGTTGCATTGCTGTGAAGACCTTTAAGTTTCTTATTGTGTGATATGACGATACTTTTCTTAAAAGAAATGGTAAATGCTCATGAAGTGATTCTCAGAGCAGTTCTAGAGATTGTTTATGTGTTCATGTCCTCATATATTGAGGGGCAGAGGCTGAAAACGCCGCTCTTCAGTATGTGTGTAGTAAATGAAACATTCATTCACACAGAGTCAAGCAGAAACATGCATAACTTCATGAATGGCCGTCTTTAAGCAATTCTGAAACTAAATAGATTTTTTGGCTTCCTCTTCCTCATCCTCATTTTTGTTTTTCTTGAGCCCTGCTGAAGATGTTATCTGTTCTGAGTAACTGTGTCTTATAGTCTTATGTTAATATAGAGTGTTTATTTGTGTGTCTTATCTTCATAGTCAGTGTGTGTGTGTGTGTGTGTGTGTGTGTAATCTGTGCTGTGTGTTGTCTGTTCAGAGTGAGGATGTTTGGCTAGAAGCCGCCCGGCTGCAGCCTGGAGACACGGCGAAGGCGGTAGTTGCCCAGGCGGTGCGTCACCTCCCTCAGTCTGTGCGCATCTATATCAGCGCCGCGGAGCTAGAGACGGACATCAGGGCCAAGAAACGAGTGCTCAGGAAAGGTCAGTGACTCTCTGTCTGTCTCTCTTCCTCCAGTCCTCTTTAGGTTTCTCTTTCCACTGTCACCTGCTTTTTTCTGCCTGCATACCTGTGTGACAGAGACAGATGAATTGTTAGTTATGTATGAAACCTCTATCAGTCTCGGCTTGTTAAAACGTCCCGAATCTCCCCCTTGTGATGAAGCATCTCTTTAAACAGGCTGACGGTTCTACTTCATCAATGTCTCTACCTTGATTAGCTTGTTAACTCTATAAAGTAATGTGCTGTAAGTGAAGTAATTAGTTTGTCATTAAAAATCTAATTTTAGTACCAGTTAGATTATAATTAATGACGTGATTTGTATGAAGTGTTTGCACAGCAGTGGTTTTTGCATTTTCTGGAGAACGTTTGAATGCTTGCCCATTGAAATTGGCCATTCACGTGATTCGTGCAAATCTGAGGAGTGAATGTGAATGTATATCTGAAGGGAACGCAATTTTGATGACTGATGATTTTCTTTTTTATCTTACTGCCATATGATGCCTAATATTAGTGTTTATAAGCGCAGCTCTGCTTTGTGTGCATTATTTGTATTGTTTGTATTTATTACTATTTCTGCTTGTCCATAAGCGCCGCCTACTGTCAAAGAGTGAATTTGCTTTATTATTAAGCCCGTCTGCAGTTTTTGTTTAGACCAATTATGTATAACATGCATAATCATTTATTAGGCTGAAATTTGTGGTTTATCATTTTATACAACTTTTTCATTTATTATTTGAACTCTAAAGTTGTTTGAATCATAGTCTTTACAGGTTAGGATGTTACCATAGACGTTGGCGTTGTTTCAAAGCAGTGTTGCTTTTCTATTGTAAACATGCTCAAGATAGACATCTTTGACAGTTGTGCACACAAGCCTTGTGTTTTTTGCAGCATCTTGTGCCTCAGCACTGCATGTTGAGAACTTGTAGAATGTGTAAAATGTCAAATACACTACCAAAAGGTTTTGAACAATAAGATTTTTCATGTTTTCTGCTCACCAAGCGTGCATTCATTTGATCCAAAGTACAGCAAATTTTGTAATATTTTTACTATTTAAAATAACTTTTCTATTTATATTTTAAAATGTAATCTATTCCTGTGATTTCAAAGCTGAATTTTTAGCATCATTACTCAAGTCACATGTTCCATCAGAAATTATTGTAATATTCTGATTTTCTGCTCAAACACACCTTCTTCTTATTCTTATTCTTATTCTTATTCTTATTATTCTTATTATTATTATGTTGTAAACAGCAGAGTAGATTTTTTTCAGGTTTCTTTGATGAATAGAAAGTTCATAAGAACAGTATTTATCTGAAATAGAAATCTTTTGTAACATTATAAATGTCGTTATCATCACTTTTGGTGAATTCAAAGCATCCTTGCTAAATAAAAGTATTAATTTCTATAATTACTATTTTCTAAAATAGTATATATATACTACACTGTGTAGTATGTGTATATATATATATATATATATATATAATATATATATATATAATATAAATATAATTTGTGTGTGTATGTGTTACGATATAACTAACGAGGTCATATTCAGAAGACAATGAAACCGAAACCAAATAGCGTTGAAACAGGAAGTGAAGTAAACAGAAGAGAATGACAAAATAACGATCCACATAACAGAACATAAACCTGACAATAAGATCGTTAGGAGGGAAAAATGAAATCGCATCATATGACCCCTTTAAGTGCAAATCTACGGAGCCTCTACAAATCAGCATGGTACACTATGTTATCATTACTAACTTGTTTAATATTCAGTCCACATGGATGAAGTGTAAAACGAGAAGGGTATAACCTTACGGAAAAAAGAACGCAAAAATCGCGGTTGCTGCGGTTCTTGCATTCCTCTGCGGTTTGCTCGTCAATAGCGCGATATTGCGATTATGGCGTTATCGCGACAGCCCTACTTATATGGGCTCCTTGTATCATTTGAGCTGGAGGAGCCAGAGGACGCTAGGATCATGTTGAGTAGAGCAGTCGAGTGCTGTCCTACCAGTGTTGAGGTACACAAACAAACACACACACACATACACACAAACGGTCTTAATCAGCCAGAACCCATAAACCTCTTTATGGCCCATAAATCAGACTGCTCTAACAGTGTTGTCCTTGTCTTCCGTAGCTCTGGCTGGCTCTGGCCCGATTAGAAACCTATGAGAATGCCCGTCGTGTTCTGAACAAGGCCCGTGAAAACATTCCTACTGACCGCCATATCTGGATCACAGCTGCCAAGCTGGAGGAGGCCAACGGCAACACACAGATGGTGGAGAAGATCATCGACAGAGCCATCACCTCCCTGAGGGCCAACGGCGTGGAGATCAACCGCGAACAATGGGTTCAGGTCTGTATTTCATGTTTAAGAGCTCAGATAGCTCAGTGACATACTTTACCAAATACCCGTTTTTAAATGGTTTAAAAACATTTTTAATTAGTGTTATTAGCAGAGGACTTTTGGTTAAAAAAATGCATATATGCAATTTGGACAGGATTAGGTTTCTCAGTTAAGTTGCATTGACAAATATATGAGAGAGCCAATATTGTATCAGGAAGTGTTCATTCAAAGCTGATGTCTGTCTCAGGATGCAGAGGAGTGTGATAAGGCTGGCAGCGTGGCCACATGTCAGGCTGTGATCAGAGCTGTGATTGGGATTGGCATTGAAGAGGAGGACTGCAAACACACATGGATGGAGGACGCAGACAGTGTAAACATCCTCTCACCTTTACGCGCCCACATTCTGTTTTCATTCAGCACCACATGTTTGTTTATTACAAACATTTCTGATCATTTATCTATGATAATAACAATTTATATCAGAAGATTTAAAGGGATAGTTCACCCAAAAATGAAAATGCATTAATGCCTTTCTTCTGTTAAACACAAAAAAGATCTTTTGAAGAATGGTGACCAGACAGTTGCCGGTAGCCATTTTTTCCCCCATACTATGGAAGTCAATGGCTACCAGCAACTGCTTGTTTCTCAACATTCTTCAAAATATAATCTTTTGTTTTCAGCAGACGAAAGAAACTCACACAGGTTTGGAACAACATGAGGGTGAGTAAATGAGGACAATTTTCATTTTTGGGTGAACTGTCCCTTTAATGTCTTTTATCTTTTACCATTAGTTTGGCCGTTTTACAAGTAAAACTACATTAATTTTTCCATAGGGATTTTTAGCAATAACTTATAAGCCTTTAAGGACAAATATACATATTGTGAGCTATGTGGGTGTAAATCATTGTTTTTCATTGAAGCTGTTCGTTTACATTATTTCAAATTATTTCTTAAAAAATCACATAACATGAATTTGTGGTAAAAATTACATTACCCATGATTCTGTACAGAATAATTCCACTAATCAGAAAGTCGAGATGAGCAAATCTCCCAAAAAAACTCTGCAGTGAACCCCCTCTTCTATATATGCGTATTTGCAATAAACTTAAAATATATTGTTTCTATAAATATAATCAACAACTTTAAATCAATAGTTTTTTTATTTCTCCTTAATTTTTTATTTGATTATGGCTCTTGAAATGGTTCATGCGACTGTAGTTTTTGACCTCATTAAAGCCGTTAAGTACATAGTCTTGTACCTTTGTCTTTTTGTCTGATTTTCAAATACTTTCAAAAAGTGGACAAGCACTAATGCACACTGTTACTGTGATATCTGATGCTGATTGGTTGTGTTTTGTTGTAGTGTGTGGCTCATGGAGCTCTGGAGTGTGCGCGGGCCATCTACGCTCATGCGCTCCAGGTCTTCCCCAGCAAGAAGAGCGTCTGGCTGAGGGCCTCTTACTTTGAGAAGAACCACGGTACACGGTGAGAAATACTCACTGGCTCTCTAGACACAGCTGAACAGAATTTAAGTCAACATTTATTGGCTGGAGGCAGAAAGGCAAGGAGACCTATTTGAGCTTGCACATTTAAATTTGTTCTAGATCATTACACTTGCCGTTATTGAAGCCTTTCTGAAACCAGTTTCCTTTAGAGGCGCCTTCATATATTTAGACACTGTTATATAATCTAATCCTTTGATTATATTCCACAGCTATTGACATTATTGTAATATCTCTCTCTCTCTCAGAGAGTCGTTGGAGGCTCTGTTACAGAGGGCCGTGGCTCATTGTCCTAAGGCTGAGGTGTTATGGCTAATGGGTGCTAAATCGAAATGGTTAGCGGGCGACGTTCCTGCAGCCAGAAGTATCCTGGCTTTGGCTTTCCAGGTGAGTGTCGCTCCCCGTCAGCTCTTCAAGCCCCGTGACTGCATTATTAGTGGCAAGCATCATTATTGATAACACCATAGCATTGTAATGGTGAAGCAGCAGCACAAGATATACTTCTTTGTACTGGATATTTACAAAAGTAATTTACAAAAGGCCTGTGAAGCATAGTGGTGAATAGTGGTAGGCTTCATACTTAATTCACTCTCTTTTATTTAAATGCACTATTAATAGACCGTTAATCGATATATTACGGTTCAAAAGTTTAGGGTTGGTAAAATGTTTTAAATGTTTTAAAAGAAGTCTCTTATGCTCATCAAGGCTGCGTTTATTTAATCAAAAATATTGTAAATGCAGTCAAATTGTAAAATATTAATATTAATTTAAAATTACTCTTTTCTATTTTATAGGGATGCACGATATTATCGGACCAATATCGGAATCGGCCGATAATGGCTTTAAATGTAAATATCGGCATCGGCCCGATATGAAAAATTATGCCGATATGTCTTGCCGATTAGAGGAATACATTTTTTTAATCTGTAGGGGGCGCTGTTGGCCTACTTCTAATAAAATTAATGCAAAATACACAAATAATATTTAGACTGTTTCTGATTAAATAAATCAG